TGTGGGATCTTCCCGGACCGGGGCACGAACCCGTGTTCCCTGCATTGGCAGGCGGACTCTCAACCACTGCGCCACCAGGGAAGCCCAAAAGATCTGGTTATTTTCTTACTGTTAGATTTCATATTACTGTCTAGTGCAAATGTGATGCTTTAAAAATTATTCTCATTCTGTTTTTAAAAAATAATTAAGTAATTAAAGGTTTTGATAGTTTAAACTATGCTACAGAATGTTTGCCTTTACTAAATTTTCGTACTAATAAGCAAATGTGTTGCTTTTTATAGGGCAGATGATCTGAACACCTTGCAGCTAATAAGCAGCCGAACACTGAAGCTGCACTTTAGCCTCCAAAGAGGCCTCCATCACCATGTCAATGTCATGTTTGATTACTTCCACCTTTCTGTAGTGTCTGTGACAGTCCATGCATCGTTGGTTGCACTACACCAGCCACTAATAAGGTAAATGTAACCACTTTCCCGCTCCTTAATTACATAGTATCTTTTATTTTTATAATGAAAACATATACTTTGATAAAGATAACTGAAATAGGAATTTCTAAAATCACACTTACTTAATAAACACTTTCATTTTTATACTGAAGTATTAATAAAATATAAGAGCATGGGAACATTATATTGATGACTTTTTTATTACAAAAATATGGAGCATTCTTTGTCAAGTAAACTGACCAAGAAAAGTAATGCAATATGGAAGTAACCATACAGCATTGTTTAGTCTGCACCTCTGTTTTTATGCAATGCTGACTGTAACTATTCATTCTCTGGGAAAGTGTATTCATTTTTTCATAGTTTTTGTGTATTTTCTCTAGACTAATTTATCTTCTTAAATCTATACAGTAATTCTTGTTTTCTAAGTTATTAACCAATTTTATGGATCTTTACTAAGTAAGCCATTTTAAACTATATCATGTTAGCCTAAAGGTACATAATATTCTGGATCATAATAAATTCATTGGGCTAATTGTTTTTTCTGCTTACTTCCATGGGGAGATGGGTTGTCTTTCATTAATGTAAGAATACAGTTCAAGCTCTTTAGTTCTTACAGTAAGACATCATCCTTGTGGCATGGGTAACAGATAGACACTTTTAAATCAATAACTTATGTGAAAAGGCTCCAAATTGACTTGACTTCTGAACTACATTACAATTTCTGATGCAAATTTTATTCCAGCAACTGATGTTAGGGATGATGCTTAAGGGTTATAATGTTAAACTGACTTATCAGAAAACTAAGTAGGTGATTTTGTAGAATTACCTACTCCAGAATTTATAGAAAACCAAGACAATTTAACATATTTTCCCCAAGTAACAGCCTGTTGCATGTCTTTACGTTGCTGTAAAAATTGTGAGCCCCACTTCCCCTGTGTTGTCCCATGATGTCTTTAGAGCATGGGGCCAGGAAGAAGTCTCTTTCTCCTGATGGCCTGCTTTGCCTTCCTTATTCTGTAGTAAGATCTGGAACTAGTTGTTTTGCCATTTTTGTCTTTCCTGTTAGACATTTGAGAGCTTTTTCTCAGTTGCTATAACTTTTGTACACAGGAAAGTGTTCCTATGATTATATATAATTTTATTATAAACTTATTCAAAACAATTTTAGATGTTGATTAAATAAATTAATTTTTAACAGCATGATAACTCAATGAAAATTCTTTGACAGGAAAGTTTTTTTTTTTGAAGTACAACTTTCAAATAAGTAGTATACAATATTACTTTTATATGAATAGCCTGTTAGGTTTTTTTTTTTTTTTTTTTCCTTGCGTTATGCGGGCCTCTCACTGTTGTGGCCTCTCCCATTTGCGGAGCACAGGCTCCGGACGCGCAGGCTCAGTGGCCATGGCTCACGGGCCCAGCCGCTCCGCGGCATGTGGGATCTTCCCGAAACGGGGCACGAACCCGCGTCTCCTGCATCGGCAGGCGGACTCTCAAGCACTGCGCCACCAGGGAAGCCCGCCTGTTAGGTTTTAATGCTAAAAGTTTTTAATCTGTTTATAAAATACATTCCAGTAGTTTTCTGAATTTCTTAGTTTTGTAATTTCAGTAAGAATCCCTAACGAAGCTATTTAAAGCATTCCTTTTTCTTTATAACAATGGCTTCATTTCTTTTCGGAAGAAATGCGCAAACAGTCCCTAGCGGTTAGCTCGGGTTATCACTGCTGCTCTCTAATCCCTGAGTACGGAGAGCTCGTCCTGGTGACTCAGTGCGATTCTTCCTGCGGTACTGCAGCTCTTGCACAGACTGGTGGGGAGAGGCGGCTCATCTCCTAGAGACCGTTCACTGCAAGGAGAGGACTTTTTTGGCTCAGAATAAGAAGCCAAGAGGACTAGCTGTTGGCTCTGGTTGGCGATGGGAGAAGAGACTGAGGCGCCTGCGACAACTGGGGTCGCTGCTCTTTCCGTCACTGCCCTGGGCTCTGATGTCCCCTCTCTTGCTGCTAGAGCTGTGCCCTTCTTTGCCTGTAAAGGAGAGGGTCGGGAAGGAAAGCAAGGCAAGGGGAAGGAAGGCTTTTTGCTGGTGGCACGCTGGTAGAGGGGTCCTGTTAACGGTAGTGTTCCTCACTATTTATGCTTCTATAAATGCAGGGTTTCTCCTGAAGTTTTGTTATAGCTGGACTTTTTAGTCCTCTAAACTAGATGAAAAAATTTTTAGTTTACAGTATTACATTTTTAAACATTATTATTATTATTTTAATTTCTTTATTTTTATTTTTGGCTGCGTTGGGTCTTCATTGCTGCACGCGGGCTTTCTCTAGCCGTGGCGAGCGGGGGCTACTCTTCATTGTGGTGTGCGGGCTTCTCATCATGGTGGCTTCTCCTGTTGAAGAGCACGGGCTCTAGACATGCGGGCTTCAGTAGTTGTGGTGCATGGGCTCAGTAGTTGTGGCTCACGGGCTCTAGAGCGCAGGCTCAGTAGTTGTGGCGCACGGGCTTAGTTGCTCTGCGGCATGTGCAATCTTCCCGGACCAGGGCTCGAACCCGTGTCCCCTGCATTGGCAGGCAGATTCTTAACCACTGCGCCACCAGGGAAGTCCCTAAATATTATATTTATATAAAACAATTTCTATGATCAACCCAACTATAGGCATTAAATCAATTAGTTAAAGTAACTAAGGTTAGGATTTTTCTTCGCTTGTTTTTTGCATAACTTGTTTCTTATATTTGATTTTTTTAAATATAGCTTCTTTGGCTCAAATTTTTTTTTTTTAATGGCTCAATTTTAAGAAACACTTCATAGCAAGTGGTATTTACCAATGACTTGCGACACCCTCGTTGCTAGGATCTAGATATTTCATTTTTGCAAAGCAAATTCATTTTGCAAATGAAGGCTGCTCTCTGCTTATGGTACATTTGATTTACTTTCCTGTCTTTTCCCTTTTGCCAAACTGCCAACCAGTCAAATGCTTTGGCCTTCTTATAGTTAGCCAGTACTTTATCTCAAATTCTTAAAGGAAAAATTGTAAAGTTACTTTAAGAAGAGTTTAGAAATCATAGCCTTGCAAAGCCCTTGCTTTTTATTCTGCCCCTCTAAGACTTTCTTTTGTAAACATTTAACTTAACACTATAAATAGGCTCTTATGACAATAATAATGTGATGCTTGTTCCTCCAGCTTTCCTCGCCCTGTGAAGACTACTTGGTTAAACAGAAATGCACCAGCACAAAACAAAGATTCTGTGATTCCTACTCTTGAAAGTGTGGTCTTTGGTATTAACTACACAAAACAGTTATCACCAGATGTAAGAACTGATATGTTTATAAATCCTCTTTTCTCTCTTACTTTGAATGAAATTTGTTTTAACTGTTATCTTTGTGAATGTGATTGTTCTTTTGTTAATTATTTGAGATCAACAACTTACAGATCTAATTAAATATGATCTTAACAAATTGGTTGGTTCCAGTTGTTTTTTTGAAAACGAACCTGATACCTCAAGATTTTACAAGACTTAATGGATAGAGACCTTTGACAGCCGGGGCCTTTTTTATTACTTACTCTCTCCCCCTGCTCCCTTCACACAACTGGTAGAATCATTTTTGCAGAGGTGCTTGTAAAGAGTCACTGCCAGAGTTGAGACCCAGAGTTGAGACCCAGCAGTATGAATACAGCCATTACTCCCCAGAAAGAAAAGGGGGCTCAGACTACAGAAGTGGAGTACCACTCAGTCGAAGTTTCCTGTGTTTAAATTACTTGTATGAATGAGAACAACTCCCTAAGATATTGCTAGATTTCTTATCCGTTTTAGAATTAACTGTGATTTGTAAATCCTTTATTTTTCTAAGCTTCAAGGGTGCTATTTTTAGACTCTTGGTTACTAACAGTGTGTCCCAAATCGACTCCTTGTTTAGGGCTTCAGCTTCGTCATTGCAGACTCCTTCCTGCGTCACGCCTACCGTTTCCATTACACCCTCTGCGCCACCCTCCTGCTGGCATTCAAGGGGCTGCACAGCTACTTCATTACGGTAACGGAAGAGCTTCCCTCTTGTCAGAAACTAGAACTGGGTATGTTGAAAGTAGCCAGACCTCTGCTTTAGTTCAAGGCACTCTCTTCATTCTCATATTGCTAGTTATCAGCTTGGCCATAGTTTCTGTACTAAAACCAAGTTTATGTGCTTCACTTTTGCTTCTCTCTCAACTTCATCTTTTTCAATCTTTGATAATTACTTTCTGAAATTAAAAAAACGGTATGATATTGAGAAATAATTTCTTGGTGCTAAGTTTGAAATGTCTTTTGGTAGATTTTTTTGAACAGTATGTCAATATTACTACTTCTCTTAGAATACAAGCAGAAAGCTTACTAGAAAACAAATGTAATTATCCATAGAATTATTAGATAGGGAAGAGAAATTAGATAGATTAGGTAACATAAATTAAATCCATACTTCCAAATATTTAACAGTCTAAGCAGATTGTAGGTCCTTGGGACCTTTGTTTTTAAATACGTTTGGTTTTTTGTTTTTTGGTTTTTTTTTGTGGTACGCGGATCTGTCGCTGCTGTGGCCTCTCCCGTTGCGGAGCACAGGCTCAGCGGCCCATGGCTCACAGGCCCAGCCGCTCCGCGGCATGTGGGATCCTCCCAGACCAGGGCACGAACCCGCGTCCCCTGCATCGGCAGGCGGACCCTCAACCACTGCGCCACCAGGGAAGCCCCATATGTTTGGTTTTAAGTGATCTCAGATCTTATTTCTTTTATTTAATTTCAGAAAATAATAACATTACTCAGTTTTAACATTCTGAAAAATTTTTAAATAATTTTAAAACACCAGTCTTCGGTTTTTGTCTGACATTAATATCTGCATGTATATTGTAATACACAATAAACAATCATATTGCCTTGATTTTGTATACCACTTGTAGTTTGCAAAATACATATATCACTTCACAGAAGATAAATTATTGAGATCTGCAAAAACGTTTTTATTCAGACATTTTATGAAAGTTTTATAAGCTTTTACTTTCAAATATCAGCTATAATAACTCATCATAAGAAGCGCATTTTAATTCTCTTTAGAATAAATTATTTTCATCATTATACTTGAATAAATCAGAAATTACTTTTTAAATTTTACTGAAATTAATCACTGTTCTTATTTATTTCTTTGTTCCTCAAGGATCTCAGTCTTTTAACAATATTGATGCACTATCAAAAATAGTTACAGAAAATAATTCTTGGGTTTGAGACTAATTAGCCCGTTTTTATAACTGCCTATCTTGAGATACAAAAGAATTGTAAGAAAGTGATCTGTACCTCACTGAAGTTCAGCTGTGAGAACAGGCTGGCTGTTGTACTGCTGCCTGTCAGCAGATGCTCCCACGGGTTGGATTAATTTCATTATCAGTCAGTTGAGTGCACACTTTTCCTGACTTGACTAGAAACAGATATCATTCAGTTGACTATTTAGAATGCTTAATTCAAGGATCCCAACGTATCCCCAGTTTTACAAGCAGTAGGAAAATGTTTGTTCTTTCTTGCTCATGTATTCTTCCTCAAGTCAAAAATGGTAGTACGGAAACCTTTTGATTACTATTCTCTGGAATATTCTTTTTCCTTGCTGTTTCATGTACTTAGAATCTTCTATTTCCCTTAGGAAAATCCTTTAAGAGACCACTGCCTCAAATGTAAACTTTTAAAAATGTTCTTTTTTGAAAATGAAAGAATTGTTTGTAGAATAGAACTAATTTAATGGAAAAATTATGCTTCATGTATTTTTTAATTTGGTTCTTTGGGATTCAAACACATTTTCTTAGGAGAATTATATGATACATTTTAGTTAACTTAGGTTTAATGGTCAGACCACAAAATTATTAAACCATAATGTTAATGAAGGGTGATACCATGTTACTGAAAAGTAGTGGTATGACACAGAAACTACGTGTAATGGCATTTCTATAGGAGAATCTGTTAGTAGTTTGGATGTTGAATTCGTGGAGACATCATCGTGTAGTGCTCAGCACTGCATGTGCATGTGTGCACCATTACTGTCACTAACTACCTGTAAGTAACTGGGACTGTTTATGCAAACTGGTTTCCATTCTAAGGGCAGGAGGATTGAAGGGGTCCATATGTGCTGAATGCATCAGGAAGGAAAGAGGAGGGCATCCAGAAAGCAGAAGGCGTGAGGAAGCTCCACAAGGAAAACTGGTTATCCACAAGGAAAACTGGTTAACGGAGGAATTCCTTCGGGCTGAGCAAAGTGCTGAGGAAAGAGCAGGCGTCTTCTAGGTCTTTGAAGAGCTTTGACATCCCCTTTCCCTTAATAAGGAGTCAGTTCAGCACTGAGAGAGACAGGAGAGACTCCCACAGCTGGGTGGGGTTCTTGTGGGTTAGTACAGAGAGCCCTGTCTGAGGTGGGCCTGTCCGTGCTGCGTGCACGGAATTTTCAAAGAGTTTTAACGTGTAATGTTTCCGAATGGAAAAACACTTGAACCACATTTTAACTTATAAAAACATATTTCTGTACAAAAGGAAATAATGTCTAAAGGAAACAAGCATCTCTTTTCAAAGGCAAAGATTTATTTCAAATAGCTTAGACAGTATTAGCACTAATTTATCTAACTTCAGTATGATAATTCATTTACTTATAAGATTTTTAACTTTGGGGTAAGGATGGCTTTTATGGCACATATGTATTACTTTGGGCTTATGAATATAATGTAGAAAATATCATAATTAAAAGAGCCCTTATGTTTAATTTCAGGAGTCAGTTACTAAATGAATATCAATTTTATTCCAAATTATTTGCTTAAAATATTTTATCAGAAAATAAAATTCTAAAGCAAACCCCTAGACTTCAGTTTCAAATAAGTAAATAATAGTGGTAGAATAAAATTATTAGTACCTTACACATGGTGTTTACTCAAAATATATTTGTTGAATGGATGAATGAATGAAATAGCACAATACAGTTTTTGTTGATAATTGAAAAGTACATAGACATCAGCACATACTTTATAGTAGTTTCCTAGGGATTTTTAAATTCAAGATTCATCTTCAGTAAATATTTATCAGTGATACTTTGTGTTACTCTTAAACTTTTAATTATTTATATTTTCTATTTATTGTGAATTTTAGTTTATTCTTGAATGCATATTCTAGGAAAACATCTAAAAATATTATTAACTATTCAAAAAAAACTATTGCATATTCTGAACTATTAACATTGTTTATTTTTATCCTAGCAAAATTAGATTGTAGGCACTAGATAATATTTCTGTAAAACAGTGTTGACTAAACATCATTATATTCACCAGTTTTAGTAAGTTTGTAAAGTAGTTCTTGATTAGAGGATGTATTCTATTTCCTTCTACTATTTAGCACTTTTCTTGAGTTTTCAAATATGTATATATTTAAAAGTCTTAAATTCCACCATGGTGTGAGGAGTATATCTAAGCTCTATTCCCTTTTTAAAAATATTGACTTGAATTCTGTTCTGCTTGTGTCTTTTTCTTTTCTCGTAGATGAATGATGTACATTTTTTTGATGACATACAGTTAAATATTGGTTTGGTGCAAGGAACTCTTACTGAAAATGGGTGTCAGGGATTCTGGAATCTAGGCTTTACCAAGTCATGTAACCTTTTGGGGCCCCGTTCTCTACACTTGTAAAGGCAGGAGGTTGACCTCGCTGATCTCTGAGACCCCTGCCAACTCTAAAATTCTGAGTTTAAGAAATTAAAACATAAAAATAATATTGGATTATGAAATGTTGAGTGGCACATACACTTAAATAGAAAAAAGAACAAAGTAACATAAACGTGAATGTACATCATTTATAATTCTAATAAGCTAATTAACTAACTGAAAGATTTTGCTTTAGTGTTCTAATCTAACTGCACTGTCAGATCAATACTAAAACTATTAATAACAAATTGGAAAATTCTAATAAATTTTATTGTAAAAGGAGTATAGTAACTAGTGCTGTGTGCAATCCTTATAACTAGCCAAGGCCAACATGCAGGTCCTTTATGAGCGCCTTCTCAGAAGAAAACAGCCACCAACCCAGAAAGACACCTGTCTAGGTACGTTTACAAATAGGTTAAGTAAATAATCCTTTTTAATTAGCAGGAAACTTTGCTTTAAATTAGTGTCAAATTTCATAAATATGTATTTCTTAATATTGTATGTTCCTACCACCCTTATGTAAGAACTTACTATTAGAATCAATTTGGTTTGTAGGTAAGCTTTGGTTAATTTGTAATTAATTTTAATATTGAAGTTTTTATTTAAAACTGGAAATGTTAAATGCAAAGATTTCTTTGGCTTTTAACATATTCATTTTAGAGTTCCTACAAAGAGCACTTTTTGGAAACCATGTTCATTGCCAGAATTTGTTGGTTTAATGGTAATGCCTTAAATTTGTTCAAAGTCAGTTTGTCTTTGGGTAGGGCTAAGGATAATAAAATGTGGTTTAAAAACTGAAGCTAATTTCATGCATTACAGAAGTAAAGAGAGAAGCATCTTTAGTATCTGGCTTTGTTTTTTGAGTCAATTTGTATTTATTTTTTATTGTTCTAAGTTTAAAAAGCAAAATACAGTAATATCAAGTCGCCACTATCCAGATATGTTACACATTTGAAAGGAAATAGTTTGATCTCATTATTTTATTGATATATTTCCCTATATGTTATAGACTTTTGTTCTTGAATAGCAATAGTACTTAATTTATTATCTTTCCATAAGTATACTGAAAGTTTTTACTTGGTGTTGAATAGACCATCACTATTACATTTTTTTATAGTTACTAAAAGCTGTAGAAATAAAAAATAAAATTAAATCACAGCATTTGTTTCTCAGTTTTCAGAAGTATGGACAAAAGGAAATTAAGGAGCCAAAATCTTTCTCCACATTTCTCAAATGAAAACTAGCCCAGAAATACTTAAATTGTGTCAGTTTTCACTAAAACTGTGAAGTGAGAAACTTATCTTGTTATCAGGAAGGAAAAAAGAAAGGTTGAAGATTTATTTATGATCATTATTTTAGAATATAATTTTATATTCTCATTAAGTAACTTAACTATAAAATTAAAGAATTCATGGTGTGAAATTATGGTCGTTTATGACATGTTTTAGTGGTCTTTTTAGCAATAAAAATATACTTCTCATTAACTATTGTATTGTCAGCCTATCAATTTAGATGTGAGCATGCTAAATAATTTTTTAAAATGCTGCTCATATAATAAGGCCTATATAAAGAAGGGCCCAGTATTTGGTTGAGTGGGAAAAGACTTGATTCAAAACTAAAACATAGTGAAGTTAGTTAATAACACTTTTTTTGAGATATCTTTCATCCTTAACTCCTAGCAGTGTATTGGTTTTATCTGAACTATGCTGTGAATATCTGTTGAATGAATGAGTAGATGAGAGGGTGGATAGATTTAGAAGATAAATTTAAGATACATTTACCTTTCGACCTAGCAACTCCATTTTTGTTCATCTGTAGCACGGAAAGGAGTACTTGTATGTAACGGTATATGTACACGCACGTTGATCACAGTATTCTTAGTGGCAAAACACTGAAAACAAAGATAAATGCCCATCATTCAGCAAAGAATGGACTTTGAGGTACCCACACCAAGGGATATTATGCAGCCATTTGAAAAAAGTGCTTTAGGGCTGCATATCCCATTTACATGGAGTAGTGCTGAGAGAAAAGAAGCAAATCGCAGCAGGTTTGTAAAATACACCCATTTTTGGAAAGCAGTGACTCCAGATCTCATATATGTATATATTTGAAAATATGGAAGGATGTGTTCTAAGCTGCCACCTTCAATTAGCAGGAGGAGCCAAGGTAAAACAAAGTGTGTAGGGAGCTCCCTTGTGGCCTAGTGGTTAGGATTCCAGGCTTGCGCTGCCACGGCCTGGGTTCAGTCCCTGGTTGGGGAACTGAGATCACACCGCATGGCGCTGCCGAAAAGAAAAATTGTAAGAAAATAACCTGTATACATTTCTATACAGTTGTATAAATAGATACATAGGCATTTTTAAAGGAAAAATTAATTAAACTCAGTTAAAATCCTAAATGATGTTGAAATCATTTCATCTCAAAGGTTTTGAAGTTAAGTTTTGCATTTAAGCATCCCTGAAGGTGTTTGCGTTGAAGTAGCTCTCACGAGCCCTGATGCAAATGGACCAGTTTCTGCACTTAGGCTCTTGTATGTAAAGATGAGAAAAGTGTATCAAAACTCTAAAAAGTTTATTTTCATTTTTTAAAAATTCATAGGTAGGATATGTAACCTACTAAGACCAATTTTGCTGATTTTCTTCTATCAAAGGAAAACATCATGAGTGATGTGAAGACAGATGCTGGCATATGGAAGTTACGATTTTAATACAGGGTCTGCCAGATTTTTTCTTTTTTTTTTGGAAAACCTAACATTAGAAGCCACTGATTTACCTGACTGTGAAATGATTTTTGAAATCTCAGCAGATTTCTTTAGTTATCAGTGGGTTATGTATATATTTTGTGAATTCCAAAACATTTGTGTGTCCTCCTGGTTTTAGTTACCAACAGAGTGTTTGTTGTTCCCATCATAGCTTGGTTGTGTTCAGCACATCAGTGTAACTGCTTATTTTATCAAATTTAAATGTTTATCATTCTTTTTATCAACTAGTAAACATTCAGTATACCTTACAAGACAGTGAGCTGATGAATGAATTCAAGGATGTCACAGAATGTATTCTTGCTTTTGTGTGAGAATGATCAGTTAAACTCCCTTACAGCAACACGATTATGGAATGTTGTGTGCTGACGCTATGCTGTTAGAGTTCTCTTAGGAGAACTCATTTTAGTTTGATTTCTGAAGAAAAACTGAGTATATCTAAACATGATATTTCAGGCTTTAGCGAAATGTATTCCCTGCAAAAAGTAACTAATAAGTCTTCTATTCTGTTAGTTTCTGTACTCCTTTTGTAAATATTACCATTTTGATTGTAAATTAATCTGCACCCCCCTTTGTAAATGGTTGTAGCATACATTAAATAAGTCAGGATTATATGGGAAAAAATTGCCTCGGTTTTAGACTGATAGACAACTGAATTTATTAAACTAAAATAGAAACTTACTTTTTGTCGGAAAGGATTTTGTCATTCATTTTCATTAAACAGCTTATATTCCAGGCATGCTTTATATATGTTTTGGTTATAAAAATTATTTTGACTTGAACTATAGCTACTGTAAAAAACGAAGCTTTTGTAAAAAGTGAAGCATGTACATATGTAATACAAAATACTAAGATCACTGGTATTTATAATATGTGAAGTGCAATAAAACCTTAGTTGTATGTTTTATCTTTTCTGTGGTGCAGTTGTGCAAGTTACTTGAGGTATATAGTCAGTAGTTCCTTGACAGTGTTAGCCTCTTATGAGAACAGAAACCCGCTACTTAATACAGGCATACCTCACTTTATTGCACTTCATGGATACTGTGTTTTCCACAAATTGAAGATTTATGGCAACCCTACGGCAAGCAAGTCTGTTGGCAGCATTTTTCCCAACAGCATTTGCTCACTTTGTGTCTCTGTATCACATTTTGGTAGTTCTCTCAATATTTCAGGCTTTTTCATTGTTATCATTATTTTATTATGGTGATCTGTGATCAGTGATTTTTTATGTTACTATTGCAAAAAGAGTACAATTCACTGAAGGCTCAGATAATGGTTGGCATTTTTTTAGCAATAAAATATTTTGAAATTAAGGTATGTACATTGTTTTTTAGACATAATGCTATTGCACACTTAATAGACTACAGTATAGTGTAAATGTAACTTTTATATGCACTGGGAAACCAGAAAATTCATGTAATTAGCTTTATTGCAGTTTTCACTCTTTTGCAGTGGTCTGGAACCGAACTGCAATATTTTCGAGGTATGCCTGTAATCAGAACATAGAATTTACTAATTATCACATTACCTGCATGATTAATGTGTTTAGAAAAATATATTACATTGAAATTTAACTCATTTAATATAGTCCGATATTTTGCAACCTTCTGGTTTTTTAAAGGTAATTTAATTTATTTCTATAATTTCAAAAACAGTTTACAGATCTAACATTGAGATACTTCCTCCAATTACTCTTTACTCCTTTCAGAGGAAATGGATGTGGAAGCGCGACTTACTGAATTATGTGAAGAAGTCAAGGTACTTGCATTTTTAAAATTCACGTTACCAAGTTATTTGAGTGGATTCTGTTTTCTAAATATTTTATTAAAGAAAATATTAATTATTTATCCTTTCCAAAATGCAAAGATAAAATTGTTGATCTAGGTAGAAACACAACTTAGTTGATCAAACAACATTTGACTTGAATGTGAAGTTAAATTAACTTTAAAATGTATATTATTGTGCATATAAATGAAATAGCAAAGACAATTAACTGATCAGAACTGTCCTTTTTCTCTTATTAGTTCATCCAAAAAATTTCTGGAAAATTTTTTTTAAGCATTACTTAAACTTACATATTTTTGTAAAGTGATACTGTTTAGAAATGAAAGTTTGTTTTATTTCAAGAGATCAGTTTGTCTCAGACCATTTTTCCACTAGTTCATTCTTGTAATTAAATTGAATAGATTTTTATTTTTCCTTTTTCTTCCCCATGGAACTAAATGTTTTGACTATTTTAGGATCCCTATGTATTTCACTCTTGTTTAGCTACGTTAATGGAAGAAATCGGAGACATGAATCAAACAAAAATATATTGACTTCGGGTTGTATTTCTGTATGTAAATTTAAATGAGGACTTGACCCCTTTGAAAAAGGTATTTACCTTCTCCTTGTAAAATTATACATAGGCAGGAGCACTAATGTCATTATAATAGTTGCCCCAAAGAATTATATACGCTTAGAAATAATAAGATGTTTGTGATTAATATGGAAAAAAAAATCCACAGTGTTTCACTGACATATTAAAGGAAATTTGGATGAATAAACATTTATGATACTCCCAGATGGAAAGGTGAACGATCTCTGAAAGATCCAGTTTTTCTCAAGTTAATAATATTAATGCGTCTATATCAAAATCCTGTTGGAAACTTTAAGCTTATGTTAAAGATCACTTAAAGAAAGGTAAGGATGACTAAGAAAAGCTTTTGAATAATAATAATATAGAGGGACTTGCCCAAGTGGATGCTAACATATATATATATAAAACTACAGTTATGGAAATAGAGTAGGACTTCTCTAAAAGACTAGAAAGACAAATCAGTGAAACTAAATAGCACTGAAACAGTCACTAAATATGTTTAAGAATTGAATATATGATAAAATATCGGGTTACATAAATAGTGTGGTAAAATACCATACTATAGAAGAAAATTCTAAATGGACTTGAAGAGTTAAATGTCCAGAAAAATTTGGAAGATAAATTTACATATACATGTATATATAAACAATCTGATCTTAGGATATGAAATAACTTTTTTAGAGTAATAGTATAAAAGACAAAATAAGGTATTGATGATTTGAAACTTCTTTAAACAAAATAAAATATAAATAAAGTTGAAAGGAAGCAATAAACTGGAAGAAAATATTTGCAATACTTAAAAGTGGCAAATGATTAATACTCACAATATATAAAGAGGTCCTATGCATCAGTTTCAAAACACCGCCCCGGGAAAAAGGGATATGCATAGAGGCAATGTACAAAATGCAGTTCTTAGCAGAACAAGTTAGCTACATAGGTGACACTAAGTCTTACTGAAAACCAGGGAAATGCATATTTAAACAATAAAAGGGTTTTTTGACCATGAAATTCGCAAAAATGAAAGTGACTGCTAATCTGCATTGTTGATAAGGGTGTAGGGAAACTAGTATCTGCCTATGCTGTTGGTGAGGGTAGAAACTCGTACATTTTTTTAGGTCACTTCATCAATCTATTCTGAAAACATCTATTAAAAACACGTGCTCTGCCACAAAACAGTTTTTATTTAGGAATCTGTCCCGCAGAAGTGCTAATACATTTCAACAGACATAAAGAATTATCAATTCCCATGTAGCCATTTGAAAGGATTAGGCAAGTCTCTATGCATTGACATAGATTCTTTAATTCAAGATATATGTATTCATCTATGATGCAAGGTACTGTTTTCATGCTGAAAAGCTCTCTAGGATATATTAATTGAAAAAATAGGGACTTCCCTGGCAGTCCAGTGGTTAAGACTTCGCCTTCCAATACAGGGTGTTCATGTTGGATCCCTGATCCGGGAGCTAAGATCCCACATGCCTCAGGGCCAGAAAACCAAAATTTAAAACAGAAACTATGTTGTAACAAATTCAATAAAGACTTTTAAAAAAATGGTCCATGTCAAAAATCTTTAAAAGAAAAAAAAGAAAAAATAAGCTGGAAAAATATGAGTATGATTTTTGTGTGTTAATAAAAGCTCTGTATGTATTTGATCATATTTGTGTGATTAGATTACATATAAAATATTTGAAAGGATATATATACACACATACATATACATTTCAAACTTAACAAAAATACAGAAAACAGGGCTTCCCTGGTGGCGCAGTGGTTGAGAGTCTGCCTGCCGATGCAGGGGACACGGGTTTGTGCCCCGGTCCGGGAAGATCCCACATGCCGCGGAGCGGCTGGGCCCGTGAGCCACGGCCGCTGAGCCTGCGCGTCTGGAGCCAGTGCTCCGCAACGGGAGAGGCCACAACAGTGAGAGGCCCGCGTACCGCAAAAAAACAAAAAACAGAAAACAATAGCATGAAGGATGGGGCTGTGAAGGAAAAGTTTTATTCTTTATATCCGTCTGTACTGTTAAAAAATTATATGTATTCAAATATTACTAATAAATTTTTATGTACTCGTATTTAATTTCAGTATTTAAATGGACGTCATAAAATTTAACGTAAACTATGGTAAACTTTGACAGCAGATAGAATACACAAGAGGTGGAATAATAAGAGGTCTTACAAAGAGGTCTTACAAATCGTTAAGGAAACCTGTTATTCCCCATTTTTCATATTAGTATAGGTTAGACACCAAATTACAAAAACTGCTAATAAATATATGAAAAGTATTTAATTATCAAAGAAACCAAAATTTAAATATTCTGACATCATTTTTAACCTAGCTGTGATTTTTTTTTTTTTTTTTTTTTTTTTTTTTTTTTTGCGGTACGCAGGCCTCTCACTGTTGTGGCCTTTCCCGTTGCGGAGCACAGGCTCCGGACACGCAGGCTCAGCGGCCATGGCTCACGGGCCCAGCCGCTCCACGGCCTGTGGGATCTTCCCGGACCGGGGCACGAACCCGTGTCCCCTGCATCGGCAGGCGGACTCTCAACCACTGCGCCACCAGGGAAGCCCTAGCTGTGATTTTTTAATAACAATGTAATGCTTATTGAGATATGGTGAGATACAGATTCTCGTACCTCATAGATCTTTCTCAGAGATTAGTTTGGCAGTATGTATCCAAAGCCAAAAAGAGTATTTCTTCTCAATTTATACCAAATAAACAGAAATTCATATGTAGTGTAACTTATAATATTGTAAAACATTAAATAAATCCCCAACAGTAGGACAATGGTTAAAGAAATCATGGGACACTCATAATCTAAAAAAGTTGTACAACCTTAAAAATGTTGCTTTCAACAAATGTTTGATGATGTAAGGAAATGCTCATACTGTGTTATCCAGTGAAAATGGCATAAAGCTATATATGATTCTGGTTTTCCTCTCTATAACTGAAAAAAATTGAAGACTATAAAATGAACTTTATTTTTTTCTTTTTTGCTTTCCCCCATTTTCCAAGTCTATTAAAGTAAGCACCATTTTGTAATCAAACAAGGTCAGTGAATGCTATGAACAGGACAAAATAATGTTATTTGAAAAAAATATATAAATGTAAGGTCTTATTATCCCTACATTTATACATATAAAAGATCTTGTCAAACTTAATTCTGATTTCCTTTTTAATGTAAAAAAGAAATTATTATTTATATTTTGACACTTACTGTAAAGAGTTACATAAACCAAAGGAGTAATTTGTTTATACCTGAAGGGATGCTTTTCCCAATAATGAAAATACTAAAAGTCCTTTCTCAGAACCTTGGTGCCATGATCCCTGAGAAATACAATTAATAAATACAAGGTATCTAGATAGCCTTGCTCTCTGGAGGAGAATTAGTTCTACTTGTGTGTAGATTATACTATAGGTGTAGCATTGCTTGCCTTACATAGTGCTACTTAATCACTGTCAAATACTTATTCTAGTCTTCTTTTCCTAACTCCATTAAATTCATTCTTGAAACAATACTGCAGGTTTCAGCTTCTTTATAGTACATCTTAATCTTTTGTGTGTTCTTAGGAGACATGAGAAACTTGTTAGCTTCATTTCTAATAACATTTATAAACCATTTTCTAGGGCAGAACACCTCTGTAGAATTTCTGTGTATGTTGATGAATCAGTACTTATCATCTGTTGACTCTGTTAGCTTCCATTCCAGAATTCTGGAATTTGTCAGCGTTTTCTGAGTTTGTCCTTGTATTCTGGGAGCTTTTTCCTTATCCAAGGCCTGTAATTCCTTATTCATTCATTCATTTATTCGTCCAGTAAGTATTTATTGAGTGACTACTGTGTACCGGTAACCAGAGTCACAAAAGTGAATAAGACACGATCCCTTCCTTTCTTACTAATGTTGCTGAGTTTTTGTTTTAAGTGTTCTCTTAGTTAAGAAGATAAATGGAAGCTTGGTTTGGGTTGGGGAAGAAAAGCCTGCTGGATTGCAGACTTCAAAAAGAAGCCAATACAAACTGAGAGAAAGAGGGTCATATGTGATAAGCAACATTTGGGGGTTTTTGTTTGTTTTTAGAAAGGGAGGGTGCAGTGCAGTTTGGGACACGTTGAACTGTCCAAGTACAGTCATCCAGTAGATGCTGGATCTAGAGCTCGGGGAGATGTGATCCAGAGCCATAAATGAGGCCATCATTGGTGTGTAGGCGGGAATGGCTGTCAGCTTCAATCTGAGCAGATGACTTATTCCATCTTTACAGTAGGAAAATGAGATCAGCACCCATGTATGTATTTAAAGTAGATTTCTTAGTGTTACTAGTCATTAAAGACAGATTTTTGCATCAAGATATTACCTCCCTGAAGACTGACTGCTGCCTCAGTGTATTGAAGAAAAGCCTGTCCTCATGATAAAAATGCTTGACCAAAGAGAAACATCATTCTGATTTATAGTCCTTTGTTATTCTTTGTTTAGAAGTTCTAATTTTATCAATTCAAGAAAACCAAATGCCTTTTAGAAGATTCTGCATCTCATTCAGTACTCTTAACTTCCATCATCAGTTTAGGTGAATATTTAAATAAAGGGGATAATTTAATACCACTATTAGAACACTCATAATAGTATATTGTAATCATTTACCCACTTTTCTTTCCTCATTAGACTGCAAACTTTTCATATTAATCTTGGTGTCTGTAGAATGTAGACCCTAGCATGTAAAATGTGCGCAGTAAATACTGGGTGAGTGAATTGTTAGAAAAGAGAAGGAAAGAAGTGTTCGAAAGCTCTGTGAAAGGATTCCCGCAAGCAAAATAAAATCTAGGAGCACAGGTGTGAGGGCAAAGCAGTACTTTAGAGAGTGTCTCAGTCCTTTCTGAGGAGTTACAGATCTTTTAAGTACTTTACTTAGCTGATGGGGAGAAAAATCAGATTTTAAGATTTCATCATCTTTCAAAATTTTTATAACTTTCATCATGATTTGTACATTGTGTTTAAAATTCCCAGTATTTTAGTGTTTGGATTTCATCATGTTCTATAGAATCCTGATTTGTAACTTTAGACTATGATGTTATTTCAGTAACAAGATACCTCCAGTATTGAAATATTGGTTAAATGGTCGAAAAATGCTGTAGTAACTATCAGATAGAAAAAATCCATGGGTCAGTTGGTCTCTCTCTACACACACATGCAAGTGTGCACACACAGATGCAAGCGCACACACACACATTTTTTAAAACTAAAAATTTGCCTTTATATTCTCAGTAATATATATAGGTGTGTTATGGTAATTCTCAGAGAGCAGTAAAGGTTTTTTCCCTTGTCATTTCAGAAAATAGAGAATCCTGATGAACTGGCAGAACTTATAAATATGAATCTCGCACAACTTTGCTCACTTCTAATGGCTTTATGGGGACAGTTTCTGGAAGTTATAACACTACATGAAGAGCTAAGACTAGTACTAGCACAAGAGCACCATACTTTGAGGGTAAGTTTTAAAAAAGTTATGTTAGAGCATTTTAATGAGTACAGTAAGTCCCCTACATACGAATCATCAAGTTGTGAACTTTGAAAGATGCGAACACATGTTCGTGTGTCCAGTCACGTAAGTTAGTTCACGTGTCTGGCTACGTTGTCACGTGCGTGCATCCTCTACAAGTTGTTGTGCTTTTGTGTATTTTACTGTACTGTACTGTATAGAATACAGTAGTATAGTATCTTTATTTCAAGCGTACGATGTCTGGAAGCAAGTGTAAAAGCAGTAGTGATGTAGCTGGTACTGCTAAGAAGCACCAGATGTTGTACTGCACTACTGTACTTTTCACGGTAATGTACTGTAAGATAAAAAATGTTTTCTTTATTTTTTGTGTTTGTTTTTTATGTATTATTTGTGTGAAAAGTACTATAAACCTATTACAGTACAGTACTATATAGCTGATTGTGTTAGTTGGGTACCTAGGCTAACCTTGTTGGACTTAGGAACAAATTGGCCTTATGAACACACTCTCGGAACAGAACTCGTTCGTATGTAGGGGACTTACTGTGTCGCTTTCTGTTTCTCCCTTCAGATCTGTTAGTATTTGCTTAATATATTCATGTGTTCTAGTGTTGAGAACATATATATTTACAGTTGGGAACTCCCTGGCAGTCCAGTGGTTAGGACTTGGTGCTTTCACTGCAGTGGCCTGGGTTCAATGCCTGGTCAGGGAACTAAGATGCCACAAGGTGCATGGCACAACCAAAAATAAATAAATAAGTAAATTAGGCCAAGTTGATTGATACGGTTGTTTAATCAATATTCTGGATTAACTTTTTTTTCCTGTATCAGTATTTTAAAGACATACCTTTATCATCCATCCTCCATAATCTCGGATGAGAAATCAGTTGTCATTTATATTGTTGTTTCCCTCCAGCTGCTGTTATAATTTTCTCCTTATCTTTGGTTTGAAGCAGTTTGACTCTGATGGTGCCTTGTTGTAGTTTTCTTTATATTGCATGTAGTTTATATATTTTCTTTATATTTATCTAAATATATATTTATATATTTTATTGGTATTTATCTTTATGTTTATTTATCTCGTGATTTGCCGAGATCCTCATATCTGCAGGGTGATATTTTAATCAAAATTTTAGCCATTAGAACTACAGAATTTTTCTGCCCCAATTTTCTCCTCTATTCTCTCTCTCTCTGGCACTCTGATTTCACTTATGTTACACTATTTGATATTATTTTGTTTCTTAGTAGTTTTTCTCTGTGCTCTTCAGAGTGAATAATTTCTGTTCTTCCATCTTTGAATTCATTAACTCATTTCTGTAGTGTCTAATCTGCTCTAACTCTTGTCTAGTAAAATTTTCATTTCAGATATATACTTTTTACTTCCAAAATTTGCCTTTGGTTCTTTTCTTTTTTTAATCATTTCATTTTTCTGCTAAGCTTCCTCATCTCTTCATTCATTATGACCAGCTTCTCCCAGTCATTGGCCAGTTTATACTTATGGCTTGAAAGTACTTGCCTGAACTTCTGGTTTCTGATCCAGCTTTAAGAGGCTTGGACTTCATCACTCCCTTTCTAACAACAAGAAAAGAGCTGAACAAACCAAATATCAACACACCTTTTCAGGTCCATTAGAGAACCGAGGCCACGGGATAAACTCCTGACCCCCAACTGGAGAGATGGCTAGCCAGTTACAGAGAATCCTTAGCAAAGCAGAAACCAACCCATGAACAGAAGTCACCAGGAGCCAGTACCAGGAGAGCAAAACTTAAACTGTAATTGATGAATTTCTGGAGGCTCAGTGTGAACAACCTTGAGTTAATAACTCCAGGAGGGCCCAGTCTTAGGGGACACCCACACTTCTATGAGTTTTAGCTCCAGGAACCCTACCAGGTTCACGTAGTTCAAATCAGAGAAATCCCCTCATGCAGGGAGAGGGGGAAATAGCCATTTGTAAATACATCCAGAGCATTCTGTCCTTCTTAACAAGACCTTCCTCCTCAGAAACTGTCTTTCTAGAGTCCAGCTGACCTGGGGGACCCAGCTCCAGCCCTCTCTAGCCTTTCACTTGGGGGAAGGAAAATACCCAACTTATACATTATTAGGGATTCACAAATTAAAGCAACAGTGAGACACCACGCACACATGTAAGAATGACTAAAATTGAAAACACTGACAGCACTAAATATTGGTGAAGATGTGGAGCAACAGGAACTCTCATTCATTGCTGTTGGGGATGCAAGATGATACAACCACTTTGGAAGACAGTTTCATATAAATCTAAACATACTCTTACATAATAATCCAGCTACCATGCTCTTTGGTATTTACCCAAATTAGTTAAAAACTTAGGTCTGCACAAAAACCTACACTCAGATATTTACAGCAACTTTTTTTTTATAATTGCCGAAACTTAGATGTCCTTCATCAGGTGAATGGTTAAACAAACTGTTGTGTATTTACACGATGGAATATTTTTCAGTAATAAAAAGAAATAAGCTATCAAACCATGAAAAGACATAGAGAAACCTTAAAAGTATATCACTGCTAAATTAAAGAAGCCAATCTGAAGAATTACCTACTATATGATTCCAGTTCTATGACATTCTGGAAAAGGAAAAACTATAAATAAATAATCAGTGGTCACCAGGGGCTCAGGGGGATTGGGAGAGAGTCTAGTGGGTGGAGCATAGGAGATTTTTAGCGCAGTAAAACTGTTCTCTATGATATTGTAATGGTGGATACGTGTCACTATACATTTGTCAAAGCCCATACAATTCACAACAACAAGGGTGAACCTTAATGTAAACGATGGACTTTAGTTAATAATAATGTATCAGTATTGGTTCGTCATTTATAACAAATGCATCACCATAATACAAGACGTAAATAATAGGAGAAACTTGGGGGCTTGAGGTATAATTGGAACTCCCTATACTTTCTGATCAATTTTTCTCTAAACCTAAAACTGCTCTGAAAAACCTAGTCTATTAATTATTTTAAAAGAGAAAGAAAAGTACTTGCCTGCTAATTCTAACACCTAGATTATCTTGGAGTCTACTTCTACTAACTGCTTTTATCTCTTGGTTGTAAGTTACATCTTCCAGCTTCTTTGCATGTCTAGTTGATGTTCTTCAGTGCTTGAAACAGTTGCTCCTGTATCTTGTGCAGTTTTGTAAGTTGTTTTCAGTAGAGTCAATCCAATACTACTTGCTCTGTCATGGTCTAAGTAGAAGTTAAATAGTGCTTTTCAACCATGGCTGTACATTAGAATCACCTAGGGAACTTTAAAACTTACCAGTGCTGAATGGGGCCCAGGCATGGGTAATTTTTAAAATTTTTTCCAAGTGATTAACAGGGTTAGGCTTTTCCCTGAATACGAGCATTCTACTAGGGGGAGTAGGATGTGAAATCTGGCCTCTCCTCCCTGGAGGCAGGTTGTATCTGCCTGTGGAAGGAGCACCTTTTTGTTTTTGTTTTGAATATTGTTCCCTGGGTTGTACAGTAGGACCTTGTTGTTTATCTGTTCTATATATACTAGTTTGCATCTGCAAATCCCAAACTCCCACTCCTTCTCTCCCCCAACCCCCTCCCGCTTGACAACCGCAAGTCTGTTCTCTAGTCTGTGAGTCTGTTTGTGTTTCATAGATAAGTTCATTTGTGTCCTATTTTAGATTCCACCTATAAGTAATATCATATGATATTTGTCTTTCTCTGTCTGACTTACTTCACTTAGTATGATCATCTCCAGGTCCATCCATGTTACTGCAAATGGCATTATTTCATTCCTTTTTACAGCTGAGTAGTATTCCATTGTATATATTTACCACATCTTCTTCACACATTCATCTGTCAGCGGACATTTAGGTTGCTTCCATGTCTTGGCTATTGTGAATAGTGCTGCAAGGAACATTGGGGTGCATGTATCCTTTTGAATTAGAGTTTTCTCCACATATATGCACAGGAGTGGGATTGCTAGATTATATGGTAGTTCTGTTTTTAGTTTTTTGAGGAATCTCCATTCTGTTCTGAAGGAGCACCTTTTTCAATTTGCCCTTTAAAGCTTCCATATGGATCAGCAGGGCCCTGGATTCTAATGTGTAGCCACTAGCTTCCACTAACAAGGGTGGAGGGTCAGGAATTCTTATTAACTTTTATGGAGATTTTAAGATTGTAACGTTTTCAAGTGTACTGATGCTTTCTGTGCTCTAGAAGAGGGAAAGACTTAGAAATAACTTGTATAGCCATCCTTTCCCACTTAAAGGTTTCTTTACAATGATGTGTTATCTATTCAAAACATTACGCAGTTTGCATTTTTAAGAACTCATCTCTAAAACTACTTCATCTGATATTCCTTCAGTACAGCTGTATCAATGAACCTTAATATATTAAGCTCTGTCTTTTTTAATAAAGCAGAAGTACTTTCTGAGAACATATTGTTTATTTATAATATTTAGTTTGATGCCATTTATTTCCTATTTTGCAAGGTTTAGGCAGACTCCCATTGTTAATGTAATTATTAACATAAAATGTAGTATAGCTTTTATGTGTATATACAAAAAACATGCCCAGAATTTTCAAGAAATAAGTCTACCCAAAAGTGAATTTTGTTATCATCCAATATGTGCTTTCTAAAGGGCTGATTTTTTCCTTAAATTATTTTTGACCATTTTAAATGAAAACTTTCTAGTGTGCTTCATGGTTGCTTACCTTCTGAAGTAGAGTATATGGAACCTAATTTAGCCCTTTCAAAGTGAGTTAGTTATCATTATGAATCTTGTGTAATGTATTCTGCTTTAATAGTACACTGGTGTCCTGTGCTCTCAAAAATGTCTGGATAGTAGATCCTCCACTAGAGAGGCCCAAGTTATATTAATTTTTTTACTTATTTTATCTGTTTTTTATGGGAATTTTCTAGGTTTTCTTTAAGAGGGGCCTTTTTGTTTCAGCATCAAGTTCTTATTTCCTTTGCCTAGTATACTTATGTATACTTA